CAGGAGTGATGAAAGTCGTAGCTGGCCATTTCCACGACGACAGCCCGACGTGCACGATACAAAGCTAAACCACCCGAACTCATAGCCACAACTAGCCGTCTATTCGTTCTTCCTATTCATGCTTCTGATGCTTCTGACCGAAGGATGGTCCAGACTTTGCCAAGCAGCAACAAGTGCCCTTCTCCTTAAATCTGTGCAGGCCAGCTGAGCTATGGCGAAGGCTGCCGGCAAATTGACCTAGCACTCAGGCTGTTGGGAAATCACCACAGAAGTGTGGGCAATGTGATTCAGAGCATCAAGATTGGGCTTTGACTCATTGCATACTTGGCAGCACCAGCACACAAATTGCGGCTGCTCTGCAAACGGAGGCATGCAAAAATAACAGCTACGAGAAGACATCTGTATAGTGGGGTGCTGGGGGAACCCCAAGCGGGCTTTGCAACGTCACATCTGAAGCTCCACAATCATGCCTCGTCGGGATAACCGCTGTCCAGGAGAGCGAGCAATTTGCTGAGAAAGCCCTCCCGGCAGTTGAGCATTGCTTCGGGCAAGGCCCCTTTACGCGAAATCGCACCCTAAAGGATTGACTCCGAATGGCGGTGAGATTGATCTTGTCTGTTTAAGTTAGTCTTCGGACTCTAGATTCCTGTGCCGAATGAGGCTCGCGAGATGTCGCGGGAGGGATCCGCATTTCGAGAAGCTCCCGACGTTGGTAATGTGGATGCTCCGCCTCGAAGAGCATGGAAGCTACCGCCTCACAGGGCCATCATGTCATGACTATGAGCGTATATGAGCGTCACCATAACCAACAGTCCGACTTGACGACGACTTTGATAAGGTATTTACAGGATCGTTAAAGGAAACTCAGGCGAGCGGTACGATTAAAAAAACGTGTCATCTGGCTTCAGCCTGGCCGGCGTAGCTAGGTCAGCCACGAGCATTTCTGTAAACTGATTGGGTCGAGCATCAACACTACCATGTGTGCCAGTCTTGTCGGCACCAAGGCAACATTAGAGTTTTTCTCAGTGTGCGAAAGCTATCAAACTTTCTACAGCTAGTCTCGTTCTCGCACCATCGCTTTGTGACACCCCGCCCGCGTACCATGAACATTCCACCCAGCAAGGTCCCAAGAACCCGAGGACCCCTTAAAACCCCTCACTCGGAAGGTAGTAATCGTGTTTCCGTAACTGGAAAGGCTGACGATGAGGGCGGCAGAACAAATATGGACCATGACAAAAGTTACAACGGTCTTCGAAGGTGTTGAATGATTGGCTTGCCGAGCCGCTCTCGAACAGGGACTACCGCAACCACTGACCATGGAACTTTGATGGAAGCCTAACGCCCTGCCGATTCACATCCACAGCTCCGCACCTGATTTGCTGCCAAATACCCCAACAGACGTACCTTGGATATGGATAAAAGTTAATTCGTTCGAGATTGTATTGAAGCACCCTAGCATCGTCAGGTAGTCGACGGGGTAGCTCCACACGTCGTTAGAGAGGCGGCAACAGCAGCACAAAGCACCAGGGGGTGCGTAGCGGAAGTAAACATTTTGGAAAAGGGTAGCGAGTCTGTGAGTGGCCTCTGCCTCTCCTGCTCGGGATGCCTACTGACGCAGGATGGAGATTATGGGCTGCAACACACGTGCACGGAGCGAGTCGCACCGCCAACTGACAAAATGCCCAAGTTACTGCATGAGCAAGGCTTGTCGGTGAGCCGCTGTCCAGCAGGGCTGTCAGGTGCGGAGGTACGCCTCGTCAATGCGACACCGGAGGCTACCGTAGAGTGGCCCTGTGCCCGCGGGCTGAATGCCATCGAATCTGAGGCCCTGGCCTCCAGCGATCAGTTCTTCGCGAGCCTGGCTGTGCTTAGCCTTATGCCACTTAAAAGCTTCAATATGTGGGGAAAGCCGGTTTTTGAAGATCAGAACCACAGAAGCAGCAAATCCAAGTCCATTTCGACCCGGCCTTCTCTCCGGCCGCCACATGTACGAGAACAGCCATCGCAGCCTGTCAGCCACTCCCGAATCAACTTGTCGACCGGCTTGGTGCCAGTGCGGAGGGTTAGGTCTACTCTTCAGCTAGCTTGCTTAAACGGCTGCCACAGGGCAGCCAAAGACCATCCAAGCCTGTGCCGGACAAGCTTCCTCACCCCAACCACCGGCCCATAACAAAATGCCCTGCAATAGACCAGGGCAAGTGATGGTGGGACTTCGCGAAATCGGCAGGAAGCTTCTTGGCATTCCGGGTCGTCTGTCGTGACGAGCTTCATCACGGCCTCAACACCACCTTGCCACGGTCAGCAGCCAGACGATTCGCGCTAACAAAAGTAGCATGAGCTGCTCCCACGGACAGAAGATTCAACAGGCACGGACGGTTGATAACAGAGGACAGAAAACACCGCATCGTAGATACATGCGATGATCGGGTCATGCCGGCAGTTACTTTGCACCTGCATCGTACGGTCTGGACCCGGCCTGTGGTAACGAGAATTCGCTTTCCGACTGCACAGCGTCCAAGATTTGCAAGAGCTTTGGCTGCCTGCGACAGGAGCGCTTCTACTGCTTTCCTTCTTGTGCCCACCGGCTGGCTCACCTGAACACAGCTTCATGCAGCCGGCGCCTTCACTGGTTCTGATCCTGTATGTCTACTTGTGCCCCAAGGGGGGTGGGGGACGAAAGCTCGCTGCTGGAGGGCCTTCATAGTTCTCACTTGAAGATTGGCCACTGCCACCATGAACCCTTTTCCACATCAGCCTTCACTTGAATATTTGCCACTACCACCAACAGCTTTTTTGCTGCCCCTGAGCAAACACAAGCAGAACACCCCTCTCTCGAGGCCAATGATCCCATCTCCAATTGCAGTTCACATGGAACCCTTCTTCGCTTCCACGCAACAAGCTGTAGCACCGGCGTTCCAAAGATGGGGGCAGCCGTCCTTCCCCCCCCACCAGGACGAGCATCATGAGCATCATTGGGGTCCTGTTTCTCCGAAGGAACCCTTCCATTAACTTCCCCGAAATGGCCGCAACAAAGTCTCGCGGAGTAATGTGTACGCACCGGCCTGGGCCATTCCCCCCCAGACCCCTGCATCTCTTCAAGCAGCAAAGCTGGGGACTAAACTCAAGCTTCGAGGGGAGCTTTCGTGATGTGTATGTGTACCTTTAGATGTCTCCAGAGATCTCCCCCTAGCATCGCCAAGGCTTCTGCGGTCGTGCCTTGCATCTGACGTCCAAGGAGACGTCCGACAGCATCGCCACCAAGGGCCTTTGAGAAAAGCGGCGGTGCTGGGGTGGGTAGCGGCGGTGGTGGCGGTGGTAGTGGCATAGTGGGTGGTGATTGGTAGCAGTTGTTGTCGTCGCAGTAGCATGAGTAGGAATGTGAGTAGTAGCAGTGGCCGTGCCGGTGGCAGTGGCATCGTCGTAGACGGCGTGGTGGTGGTGGTGGTGACGTTGCTGATGTCACGCCAGGATTGGGTTGTGAATGAAGAATGGGAGACAGGACATCTCGCTCACAGGACCAGGATTTGCAGGGTTCAGGTCTGGTTTGGGTTGGTGGGGCACGGGTCTCAGTATCAAGTTTGAAGAAATAGTTTTCGGGGGAAGAGGGGCGGGTGTGTCTAGGTTTCTTCACGCGAAAGCAGCCTTTCTTCGCAGGCAGTGTGCTGTCACATCCGTGCAAGCTTTCCAAACAATCAGGCAAGTGTCTGAACAGCGCCAGCCGCCACGAAGCGCGAGCGCACATCATCTGAAGTCCTTGATTGGGTCGGCATTGGGGCACAGGCAAACCAGGCTCAAGTTTGAGTTCAGGGCCGTGCAGAAACTTCTTCAATGGATGCATGTCTCAGACTGTCTCTGCCTGGACATTCTTCTGTCGGCCGTGTTTTTCAATCCTCAACCTCGAAGGCTGGCACATCCTACTGGTAAGGACAAGGAGCAAAAGCGACTCCATCGAGACGACGGCTTGAAGGGACTCGTGGACAGTTCCCCACGTCATGCAATGCACCTCATCTAGACAGAAAGGAGTCACTTGTGTTGCGTCACAGCCGAGGCTTTGATTCGCTGCTCTTGCCACCTGTAGCCCCCAAGCCCTGGCTCCCGAAAGGAGCGCTCAAAGGCCAGCACCACCTCCCGAGGATTGGCACCTCGAAGCGAGTCAAGACTCTGCCAACATCTGCCCTACTGCGATCCTGCTTTCTCGGGCAAAGGGCCAACGCAAGATCGAAGGAGCGCTCGGTAACATTGATCGATTCTAAACTCTTGTCCCCTTGTGATACTGTAGCAACGCTATTTGCATGGATAGGGGAATGTCAGACGGCGAGGTCAGAAAATGTCGGTCGACGAAATCCCAACTGAGTGCATGTTTCGGCCAAGAGCCGATATCGTTGAGCAACATTGAATATATTGAATACAACCATGCGTGACCAGCTGCTGTCGAACGCCATGACCTGCTTTTTCGTTGCCGTCGCTTCCTCCGCAAAAGCACAAGTTCTAGAGCAAATCGAGGGTCAAATTCTGTTTAAGGAGAACCTGCCCTGATTGGACTGACACGTGGGAAGTAGCCGGGTACTGCACGCTTGGCTCGAGCTAGCTGAAGTCACGGTGTGCCAGCTGTACTTGTGCAGCATGTAGCAGGGGTCTCCCATGAAGTCTTTTCCCTGCTTTCTCCCAAGTTACCAGACTTTTTCCTACTGTGACAAACAGTTCGACGTCTTTGAACTACAAACTCGCCCACCTGGACGACAGGCGGCACGGTGAGCTCCTAGGGGTGGTTGTGCGAGAAGCACTTGTTCTCCGCTTGCGCTGTCAGCTCATGGAGACGTCGAGCTGAGAAACTTCCGGAAGTAAGGTGCTGCCATCCCGCTACGCCCTGTCTGAAGTCTGCAGCCGCAGGCTGGCTGCAAGGATTGAGGGACCACCTGCATCTAAGCCGCCAATCTCAGCGTGCCGGCCTGCTGAAGCAGGCAAGAATGAAAAGAGGCGCACCCCGGCTCAGCGAGTTGCTAGAGAACACCGGTCGCACGGAAGCCAGTGAACTGGAGGACCCGAAACCTGGCCTTGCGACCCCGCAGCATCAAGGTGACACCGCCATCCCATCCAGCAGGCGTTACCTCACATCTACAATCGCAGTGGCGTGCAACGCTAAGGCAAATACAGTCTGGAAGTGCCTGGCCACCAACTTCCCCCCCTTCTCCCATCGATTTCAAGTCCAAAATCCCAGTTCCACTCAGAGCTCTGCTGCCCTGGCGGGCTATTTGCATTGTTGTTGTTGCGAAACGAAGCAGGCCCAAGGCTCGGGCCACGATCTTGGCGTCTCCGAGAAATTCCTTGGGCAGAGCCGTGTTTTGCACTGGATGATGCGTGGCTTACTACCACCACGACCACGAGTAGATGCTGGGTTACGGAGTTGAGCTGAAGAAACCCCACAGGCACTGCGCGTCCCATGCCCGCTCCGCTTTTACTTCGTTGTTCAGCCGGCAAGATTCGTGATCCTTCTTGTCCTCCTGACTGAAGACCTTGAAGTGCATGGTGTCACCTTGGCATTTCGATGTGGCAATGACCCATGCGCAAGGGCCCCACCCACAGGAATGCACCTATACACCAACTCTGTGATTCAGGTCGCCGAGTTCCAATCCTTCCAGATCCTCAGTTCGACTCTCGTGCTTCAGACATCTTCATGCCGATGTCTACGGGTGACACAAACTATCCAGAGGGTTTCGGAAGTAGAAGGTGCAAAAAGAGACACGCACCCACACAATGTCTCTCGATGTCTGATGGAATGAGAGGGGGATGCTAATGCCCTTCGCGTGGCACAGACTGCATTGCGGGCCCAGCCGACATTTGCCATCGTCTCGGAAACATGAAGTTAGATGTGTGCAGCTGATCTTTTGTCAAAGTCAAGCGGCGATCCACTCGTGCCAAACTGGGTCCAAGCTCTTGAACCTCTGAGTGAGGGATCAAAGCGAATGGTTCATCGGAACATCTCGGAATTCACTTCTCGATGCGCCGCAAGCCGCCATCGCAGGATTCCGCTGGAACTACCCTTTTTTTGTATTCTGCACTTGGTATCTCATCCAAGCAGATCCGGCAAGCCTCGTTTGCGTCCGAAAGCCCAGGTGTGGCTTGCCAGAAATTTTGCACACCACATACCTCGGCTGCTGCGTTGATGAGGTCAGCCCTCGAATTAACTTCCCGTGCTCGGGATCACAAAAGCAATCTAGTTCTCCACCGTGACGTGATCCGTGACACGATTCTAGCCCTTCACCCCGGGTATGTCGAGTTGAGCAGACGATGCAGATGCCAAGTGCAACGTGCAGCTTTACGGCGTTATGAATGCCTGAATCCTGCACACGAACGACCACCAAAGTCCTGCAGCCCTCGCCACGGGTTGGAGTTGTCATCCAAGTCTGCTGCTCGCAGACCGACGCCTTCGCAACGTAATCAGAGAATTGCCGTGACATGGAGAACTCTACAGCTTCGCGTGCCTCCAAGCGTTTGCATGTCAATGTGCGTTAGCTGCTACTGGCACTACACATGCCAAAGTGGACTCCTGTCATATAAAGTCAGCTCTACAGTCGGGTGTGCCGTTGTGCAGTCACTTCTCTGCATGTACGAGCTTGGGAACCGGGCCTTGGATGATGAAAATGCTGGACCTGCTCGGCATTGCAGTTGTCTTTACCAGCTCTGTAAGCAAGAGAGCGTCTGCAAGCAACTCATGTTCAGCTGTTTGCGGCAAGAACTAGAACCTGAAAGTATTCGGAGCATCTTCGAGGCCATCTGTCAATCCGGCCTGGTGATGTAGACCTCTGGTCTGCCATAATTCGATTCCCAGGCGTGTTCATTACCTTGTTGCCGAGCAACATCAAACAGCAGCAGGAAGCAAGAAGCTTGGCAACGGGTCATGCCCTGTCTGTACAGACCGGGTGCGTCTTACTGCGTGCTACGAGCTCCCGATCAGCCGTGGCATGTTAGAGCACGTCCAATGTGCAAGCGATCGCATCGGCAAGGCTAAGCACCGCCTTGATTCGGAGAAAAAGTCCTGAGGCCAAGACTGCTTGGCAGCGCCACCTCGGGACAAGTGAACCAGGCCCAAATGATCTCCTCACAGGGACTGCGGGGGTTTCGAGCGGGCCACACTATTGTCGCACAAGAGTCGTCCAGTGTTGCATCTTAGCATATCTTAGCGCAGACTTAGCCTTAGCGTTTGCTTACATGCGAGGATATTTTCAGCATCTCGGCTGCTTCCAGCGCCAACAGCCGAAAACAAGCCTTCAGAAGCCGACCGGAGTCATCCCACTGTACACAGCTTATTGCCAATGTCAACCATCCTGGCTTTAAAGCTGACCTCCAGACTTAGAAGGATTGGGGGCGCACTTTTCCATACACCCTGTGAATAATCGGGTCTTCACAGCTCTCCCTGTCAGATGTTTGCAAGCCGACCACGACGAACCACCTACCGGCAAGACGACAGCAAAGCCTCAACATGTAATTACAAACACGGCACCTATACTTAATTCACGCCACGGAAGCATGCTGCTAGCACGTGCAGACAATGCGGGCTTCTCCTCACCATACAGCTCAGGGCCCAAACACCAGCGATCTGGACCCAACCGGTAGATGAAGGCCCCTCCTTGCCAGCCACTCGGGAGAGCCAATGTTGCTGAGCAGCCATGCGACGGTTGCATTCGAGATGCCACATATATCTGTGATGATGGATGGCGCAGAAGGAAGTGAGGCATTTTAACGCTCAACCCTAAACAACTCATCTGAGGAGTTTTCGCATGCGGAGGGTGTGTTATGCTTGCAGGCTTGACAGTTGCTTCACGAGCTCCTCCAACTTTCTGGAAAATTCTTGGTGTGCTGGCGTCCTTGGCTTCTGGGTGACAGTGCGTCACTGGGTGTTCCCTCAAGCTTACAGAAGCATGCCCTAGATGACTCGGCAAGTTGACTCCAAGCACAGCCTCTCACACAATTGTTAGTCCGCGTTCAGAGTTACAAATGCCAGCACAGTGCGGTGCCGGGTCTGGCCACGGGTCGAGTTGAAACAAGTCGGAACAAGTGCTGTGCTGCTACCAGTACGACAGTGGCCGGGGCAGGAAATCCGACAGTGATTTTCCGCCCATCAGGAATCATTGTTCAAGCCCGATGTGCACAGTGTTCCCAGCTGTACACAGGTAAACAAAGCGCCCTGCGACAGCGCTGTCACGGAACGCCATCCCTCTCAGCACTGCGCTAGCACCAGGGCACACGACCCTCCTGGCCATACTTGTAACAATACTCATAGCTTAGCAGCCATGCCTGCAAGGCGCTCAGCTGCTTTGAGGGGATGCCTGCCATCAACATGGCCGATAAAGGGAGGGTGGATCGAGTAGCCAGCCATAACCTGGATTTCTGGAGGGAGCATGGCAACTTGGTCGAAGGGCACCGACAGCATCATATTCTCCTGTGGGCGCACCCATGGCTGGCAGTACTGTGCTGTGAAAGCACATCGGTTGGTGTTCTTGCTCTTGTTTGCACCACCCCCATGCCAAAGAGTACCTGAGAAAAAACACAGCTGCCTATGGGAAGCTCTGCTGCAATGCCGAGCTCGTCCACCGTTTGTTGATCAGGAATCCGATAATCACCCCACTTGTGAGATTTCGGGATGACGACGGTTGCACCATTCTCCGCCGTGAAGTTATCATCCAAAGCCCACACGGTGGCCATCGAAAACGGGTCTCGTGGCCGTGGCACATGGGTGAACTGGTCATCATAGTGGAGTGGCTGTATAGTAGTGCCGAGAGACTTGCCTCTGGAAGGTGGATCTGACACAGTTGTGTCAGTTGTAAAAGGAAGGCTCTTCGTGATTGTGT